CGCAGCAGGCTGGACCTCGCCCCGAGGGCCGGCGACGAGCTATCCATGGAGACTCAGAGGGAGACTCCAAACTCCTCCTCCTCCTCCTCCTCCTCCTCCTCACCTTCATCATCATCATCATCATCATCATCATCATCATCATCATCATCATCATCATCATCATCATCATCATCAGCATCAGCATCAGCATCATCATCATCATCATCATCCCTCCTCCTCCTACCTCCTAACTCCCCCCTCCCTCGTTCTCCTCCCACCACCACCTCCACCTCCTCCTCCTCCTCCTTCTTCTTGGGATCGTGGGTCAAGCATGTTGTAAAATTCCGGTCAAAACAAATCTTTCATACGGGTTCCTAATTTCATTGCCGGTCACAAACGGACCCCTAGGCGCAATCAGTGTGAAGGGTGTGCCAAAGTTGGCCTCTGGACGTCACTGTGACGCCCCCTCCCAGCAGCCCTCGAACGTGGCGACAGTTTTGCAGATCGCAGTGCCCCATGGATGGCGAGGTCTAATCAGAATCCACGTATGGCAACACTGTGCTGGCCCCCGCAGCAGCCCTCAAAAGCGGCGATAGTTTTTCAGATCGCAGCCGCCAAGGGATGGCGAGGACTAATCTGGTTCCGCGTATGGCGTCACTGCGCTGGCCACCCCAGCAGCGCTCGAAAGTGGCGACAATTTCGCAGATCGCAACCCACCAGGGATGGCGAGATCTAATCTGAGGCCGCGTATGGAGTCACTGTGCTGGTCCCCCAAGCAGCCCTCGAAAGTGGCAGCAGCTTCGCAGGTCGTAGCCCCGCCAGGGATGGCGAGCTCGAAGGCAGGCCCGAGAGAGAGGCACGAGACAAGAGAAGAGAGAGAGAGAGAGAGAGAAAAAAAAAACAAGAGAGAGAGAGAGAGAAACACAAATAAAAAGAATAAGAAGAAGAAGAAGAAGAAGAAGAAGAAGAAATGAGGCGGGAAGGAGGAAAGAGGGACGCGACCACAGTGCTCTATTCAAAGCGAGGCCCCAACAAAGGAGGGGTTGGGGAAAAAACGGGATACGCATAAACTTTCGGAGCTCCGCGCGGATTACTTGGATCTGTGCTGGACCACCTCCCTAGCGCGCAGAGCGCGCCAGTGGCGGCGCCAGAGTCGCCTCCAGGGTGGCCCAGCGCGGATCCAAAAAATCCACGCGGAGCTCCGCACGTTCTTTCCGTACAGCTGTTGAAGCACGTCTTACCCGAAGAGAGGCCTGCAGGGGCCCATCGAGAGAGGGAGAGCGGGTGCGGGAGGGGGCGGGGGACGGAGCAAAGCCCGGCGGCAGGCGAGCGCGAGGAGCGCGTGCGGCTTGAACACGGCGCGCGAGGCGACAGCTGTTGACCGTCCCGCGCAGCGGCTGCAGTGCAAAAGGGGTCCCCTTGGCGCCGCTCCGCGGCTCTCGCGGCGCGGGCCGCGCCGGCGCCCCCGTGGCTCCCTCAGGCAGGCGGGCGGGGGCCGGGAGGCGCCGCCGGAGCGACTGGCGGGGTCGGGAGGCAACTCCCGGGAGGTCTTCGTCAGGATGACCAGCGGCCAGCAGGCCGGATAGAGTGAAGGGGCCCTGGGACACACAAATAAACAGACACAAGTAGCAGGGTTCCCCATATCTTCCCATATTATCTGGGCTTTTGTCTTCCCCCACACTGCCCATAGTTTCCCATATTTTCTGGGGAATCGACGATTAATTGTGTCTGTGTTTTTTCCCCTCCTGATGGAAGGGGGCCATCGGGCCGGGTCAGACCAGATCCGAGCCCAGGAATCTCAGCCCGACCAGGCCAGATCCGAAACCACGATCCTTACCAGCGCCGATGCTGAGTGTAACCTCTCAGGGATTGCATCCTGAGCAGCTAGAGCGACGGCTTGGTGAGATTGTCGGCGAGCGTAGATGAAGAACAAAAAACGCCAGAAACCTAAACTTTTGGCGCTCCGAGCGGATTTCTTGGATCCGCGCTGGGCCCCCTCCCTGGCGCGCGGAGCGCGCCAGGGGCGGCGCTGGAGGCGTCAGGGAGGGGTCCCAGCGCGGATCCAAGAAATCCGCTTGGAGCGCCAAAAGTTTATGTTTATTGAATGTCTCTTCTTCTCCTTCTTAGAGAGAGCCCCAACTGCCACGTTTAGAGAAAGAAGACGCCGCGTAGACATCAACTGTCGGAGGCCCGCGCGGATCTCCAGGACCGCCGCTGGCCCCCGCCCCCTGGCGCGCTCCGCGCGGATCCAAGAGCTACGCGCGGCCTTTCGAGATTCTGCCAATTTGCCATTCCCTCTCCTCCGACGTCGCAGTGTGGTCTGACTACCTACCAGACCACCCCAACCCAACCCGACGACTCGAGTTTCGGGTTGGGGGAGGCACGGGCTTCACATGTGTTTCCTCAATCGCCCCGACCCCTCCCCACTGGAAATGGAGGGCAAATCGGGGCCTTCGGGTTGGGTTTGGGTGGTTAAGTGGGCGGTGAAGGTCGTGACGTCGGCCCCTCGGGGCCAGCATTTCATCCCAAGCAGCCTTTTTGTGGCCCTACAGGGCCCGAAACGGCCCCGAGAAGCCAAACAATATGAAAAACTTGCCGACACTGGAGAAACAACCAGCTACCCCTACCGCTACTCCACGGACTTCTCCCAGGGCGCGATCTGACCAAAATTTCGAGGAGACTCCAGCCGTGACAACAAGGACTCTCCAGGACGAGCAGCGGCATCGGTACCTCCGCTGAGATCCGACATTGCAATGCCGATGGCAACATCGCGAAACATCACGAGCCGGATCGCTCTGCAAGGGGCTGGGGCCTGAAACAAGGAGAAAACACCGGGTGCCAACAAAAAGGCAACGCGCAGATCTCAGGGGCTTATGAATGGAGTCGCGACGTTTTTTGCGTCGCCCGGATGTGAGGCTTCTTCTTCTTCCTCGAGCAGTTTCGGGCAACGCCTGGCTGCACGCCCACAAGGCGGTCGTGCGAGGCTCGATGGGGTCCGCCACAGCCATGGCTGCACCCGCGTCGAAAAAAAGGGTTCTCGCTTCCGAGACAACTTTTGGTGTCTTCGGGCGAATGGCTTTTGAGGTCATTGAAGATTTCTGCTCGCCTCGGGATGTTGTCTGGCAGCTGCGCCTCGCGGAGGTTTTCTTTGGGGGGGCCCGGATCGTCCTGAGCGGCCGCCAGGGACCCAACTTATGACCTGGAAGCCGAGTGGCCACCGAGGTTACGCTCGACCTGCTACGGCCAAGAACGTTTGCTCAGCTTCCCGCGGTTGCGGCCACTGCGACCCGCTACCCGTTACACCACGCTTATCGCGTGTCGCTCTGCCTGGTGGGACGGGCGGCTGGAAAACCTCGGGCAATGAATGCTTTGGTGACTGGGACGTGCGCCCCGTGTCGCACCGAAGCGTGGACTAGAACTGGCGTCGCGACACGCTAAGCAGACGTTCCGAACAGTATCCGAAGGAGCGCTGACCAAATAATGGAGCCCTCTTTGGGTCCACGAGCGCCCTAGTGCGCGAGGAGCGCCAGAAGAACCGCCATGAGATGTAACAGCGAGCCCCTTCCGAACGCGAACTGTTTCTTGTGTCAACGTCTTGACTGCAAGGCACCCTAGCGGATCGCCGGAGCCACCGTTCACCGTTCGGGTCTGGTCGAATAATACTTGTTGTATGGTTTTTGCCCAAAGCCAAAAGCTCACTCCCACCCACCAACCAGCCCCCTCCTTCACATGCCCCCTGCTCAGCCGCATCCCCACGCAAAAACAAACGTCCCAAGAGCCACCCAAGAGGCACCCAAAGCCCACCGAGACACATGCTGAAGCCGAAACTGTGAATCATACTTCTCCTCCCCCTCACACTCCTCATTCTCCTCCTCCTCGTCCTCCTCGTCGTCCTCCTCCTCCTCCTGCGCCCCTCCCCGCCCATCGGGGCGGGGGACTCCAGGACCCCCGAATCCGAGCAAACTTGCACCTCATGGAGGTCCGTTACTTCTGCCCGCCTTGCGCCGGCGGCCGAGCATTTCTCTAACCTTCGAGTCGAATATCGACTACAGAATTGATTTACCCCATAAATTAATTTTCTGGCCGAATCCACCAGAAAATCCGTAGAACGTTCGCAACTCTTCAAACATTCTACGTCTCTGTGTTGAAGATTCGACTTGGAAATCAATTTGGAGCAAATCCATTCTGTAGTCGATCCCCTACTCGAAACTTCCGCAGACTCCCGCCGGTCGTTCGCCGAAAGCCGAAGAGGAGACGTCACAGAAAAAGAGATACAGTGGAGGCCAGTCCGCAAGAAACCTTCAACAAGAAACCCAACCCTGCGACCCCAGGATGTCCATTGATGTTTGATGCAGGATTGTCACGCTTTCCATCGCAAAACCATCGGAACCCAAGAAAGCCAGGGCACCCTGGAGGCAAGCAGGGTGTTTCTTGGCATGGGTTTCCACTGTAGGTCTGGACCCCTTCTTTCTAACAGCCCCGTGGCCCAATGAGGGCCCCAGGCAGGCCGAAATGTGCTAGAACCTTCCGTCATGGCATGTTCACTCGGCGATTGAGGTCTGGATGATGGGTGAGAAGAAAACGCGAGGCGGCGGAGCTGGACATATTGTAGAGGAACAGAACACGGCGTAAACATAGAACTTTCGGAGGTACGCGGGGACTTCTCGGATCTGCGCTGAACCCGCACCCATGGGCGTGCGGAACGCGCCGGGGGCGGCGCGGGAGGCGCCGCCAGGGATGTCCAGCGCCGATCCTGGAGCAGATCCGCGCGGAGCTCCGACAAATTTTGTCTATGCCTTCTTGCTGTTCTGCGAGGCACGGCCGGACAGATAGTCTATGGTCGGGCATGCCCTCCTACAGGCGGATCTCGGAAGACAAATTAAACATAGTCAACAGAGAGTCACAAGCTTTCAAAAACATTGAAAAAACGTGCCAAATTTATTATTAGACTATGTTTAATATTCCTCCTGTAGAGGGGCATGCCCGACTTAAGGATAGTCTGGCTCAGGGCCCGCTCCCCCTCAGGCGCTCGAGAGCCCGAAGGTCGGCGAGGTCGCCGCGTCCTCGCGGAAGTCCAGCGGCGGCGGCAGGTACGCCTCGCCGAGCTTCTGCCGGCACTCCTGCGGGGCGAGGAGGCCAGTCTTACGTTGCCCCCATCGTACTTAAGGACCACCTCCCAGAAGTAACTTCGAGCACCCGGAAAAGAGTCGAAAGAGTGTCGGAGCAGTGTCGAAACAGTATCGAACGAGTGTCTCCCAGGGACCGACACGTGAAAACCCTCGAGTTTCGGTGCTTGTTTTGGTGCTCGGAATTGTTTTCTTTCTGGTGGTCAAGGCTAAAGTAGGTTGGAACATCATAAAGCATGTGATGTGCTTCCTTTCTGGATGGCCCCTCGCCCAACTTCTGCCTGCACCCCTGCTGGGCGAGGGGAGGCCAGAGGCCCACGGACATACAGCACGCTGTGTGGGCGACGATCAGAGCAGGGTCTCACGCGAGTTGGCGTAGCGACCTTACGCGGTGGCTTCCGCGGGCTGCCGGCGCGGCACGCTGCCGTGGAAACGAGGGCGCTTCTGCGCGACCTGACGCGAGGAGCTTGCGCGAGGATGTCGGCGCAATCGACCCCCTGCTTCTGCGCCGCCCGTGCGCTTTCTCTCCGTATGGCCCCACGCCGAGCCTCTGCCTGCACTCCTGCTGGGCTGGCGCCGGCTTCCCAAACAGGCCCGCGTCGCTGAAGAGCACGACCGTCAGACGGGGGGGGGGCGGTTGGCAGTTTTCGGCCTCTGGAGGCCATCGTCGGGCCCCGAGGCCGTAACGACAGCGACTCGGGACAAAGAGCCGCTCTCTGGGGCCCACCTGGACACAACCAAGGCGTCGGAGCTCTGAAGAGCGTGTGTTTTTTTCCATGGCGGCCGTTCCAGGCCCTGGCCGCCCCCCTCTCCCCCCCCGGTCCAGCAGGGGACGTCAAGATTCGTGCTGACTTCCGAACCCGCGCGACACGTGACGTCACCTGCCCCGCCCCACGGCACCTGCCCCGCCCTCTCCCCCTCGAGGATCGACGGGCCCGGGTCAATCCACATCCGGGTCAGTCAGTCAGGCTCTGCAGTCAGTCAGTCAGTCAGTCATCGGGTCAATCCACATCCGGGTCAGTCAGGCTCTGCATGGTGCTGCAAGATCCTGCGGGCGCCTCCAGGAGCCTGCGCCCAAGCCCGGGTCAACGCGACCGTGGCTCTGCAGGAGCCTGCATGATGCGGCGCTCTGCAGGACCCCCGTCTGCACTGACCCCCGTCCCTCGAGCCCCGACCCCCCCCCGCCGCGCTATCGCGGAAAAGAGTCGAAAGAGTGTCGAAACAGTATCGAAACAGTCGACAGAGTATCGAAAGAGTGTCGAAAGAGTGTCGAAAGAGTCGAAAAAAAACGCTCAGGCTTATGTTGTCCCATCGTACTTAAAGACCACCTCCCAGACATAAGTTCCAGCACCCGGAACAAAAGGTCGAAAGAGCGTCGGAACAGTGTCGAAACAGAGTCGGACGAGTGCCCCCCAGGGCCCGACACGTGCAAACCCTCCAGTTTCGGTACGGTCGGACCTAGGACAGAAGAACACCCCTCAAGAACTTGAGACCCTCCGCCAGCCCAACCACACAGAACATCCAAGGGTACCCTCCCCAGGATGCACAAGAGCATCCAACAAACACGAAGAACACTAGGGTACCCTCCCCGAACCGACCTCGATCTTATACCTTGGTCCGGCTGTACTTGTTTTGGTGCTCGAAATTCTCTCTGGTGATCAAGGCCAAAGCAGGTTGGAACATCATGAGCTCAGGCCGCAGGGAGGGAGGGGGGACTGGCGGGAGGGAGACGGCACCCTCCTGGGGACTCGTGCCGCCGCCCCCTTCGGGAGGCCGCCCAGGAAGCCATGCGCCGCCCCCCGGGGCTCCCAGAACCGCGCTCCACGGCGCCCACGGCCCGCCGCAGCGAGGCAGCCAGAGCCGCCAAGAGGACCCGCACCTGCCCCAGGATCGGAGGTCGCTCACTTCGGGAGCCCCTGGGGTCCTCTGGGCCTCGTGAAGGGTGCTCTGGAGGCCGTGAGGGGGCCTCCTTGGAAACCCTGGGGGCACCTTGGGCCTTGGGCCAGGGGGGGGGGCACTTCTAGCAACACACCCGGCAGGGGGAACCCACCCGCCCACAGGCAGACCCCAAGATGTGGCAGAGCGGCCTCAAGAGGCTTCCAAGGCACAGGAGGAGGAGGAGGAGGAGGAGGAGGAGGAGGAGGAGGAGGAGGAGGAGCAGCAGGAGGAGGAGGAGGGAGAGAAGGCCGACACGCCCTCCAGGAGAGCGACCATCATCGAGAGCCCCGTCGGCTTCTGATCAGTTTGAGCTGCCCGGGCCTCTCGGCCCAAGGCGGTTCGCAGAGGGCCTGGGAGGAGGGGCGAAGATGCCCAACAACAGTTTTTTTCCGTCGGCGGCGAGGCAGAGGCGATCCGCACCAGCGCGGGGCGAATCGGGGCAACCGAAGTGCGAATTGTCCGGCGTGTCCGATAGGCGAATTGTCCGGCGTGCAAAAGAGAAAAGGCTACGACGAGGGCGGCCGCGCGAAGGGTGGAAGGGGAGGGCTGCCCAACAAAAACCCATGAACGACGAAGCAAATACGGGTCTTACGCAGGAAGGCATGCCGAACTTGTGTCACGGCTTACGCGTGCCGCCAGCGTGGTACGCCGCGTGGAGAAGAGGGCGCTTCGGCGCGACCTCGCGCAGGCATCCACCTTTTGGTTCCACGATGATTATCTCGGACCGGCGGCAATGCAGGTTGACAGTCGGCGTCGATCCACCAGCCTCGGCAGCGTTCATAGTGCGAGCAAGACGGCCTCCAAGCAACCCCAGAACGCCGCACAAGCCGACCTTCAGTTAGCACTCGCGTTGGGCACCGTGGCCTGGAAGAGACGACACCCAGAGCTACCCGTGACAACTATTCCCCGGGCGCGCCGTGCCGATCGAGAGAAGCCAGACGGCGAAGGATACCGATCCCACCCGCCCTTTCGGGCATGAGGGGTCTGGAGCGTCTCCTCCTCCGACCCCCGTCTTCCCCTTCGGGGAAGGGTTTGCCCCTCCCCCCCTTCCCCCTGGACCTGGATTGGGTGGGTCCGCGGGTCGTCGGAGCGTCCAAGAAGGCCTCGGCGAGAAGGCCAGCATCATTCTGTGTTGAGGGCTAGGAAACGCAGCGAGGTGCAGCTCGGATGAAGAGCACAGCCAGCTTCCCAACTGAAGGGAAGAAGTCTCCACCATGCAGGAACTGTCCACCATGCCAGAACCATTGATTTTACAAAGGGGTTGGCCACATGTTGGCATCTTGGAGGGGGAGCTAATTGAGGAACCTTCATTCTTGGATCGATCACCTCCAAGATGGCCCCCGAGGCTCCCGAGTGCCCCAAGAGGGCTCAAAGGGCGCCCAGGATGCCCCAAGAGGCCCCCAAGAGGCTCCCAAGATGTCCTCAAGATGCCCCCAAGATGCCCCCAAGAGAGCCCCAAGAAGCCCTAAGAGGCTCCTCCGAGGCACCCAAGGCGCTTCAAGAGAGCTCGCGACTGCACAGACAAGCCAGTGCATAGCCTGGGGCCCGCACACAACTGTCCCCCACGAGCGGAGAGGAGGAGGACGAAACAAGAAGATCTGCGAAAGCATAAAGATCTCGCGCGTGCGCAAACCAGTCATTGGCCATTGGCCGATGTACGCACAGGTTCCCACACGAGCGTTCTAAAAGGGTGGTGGCAGTGATACCAGTGAAAAGTGTGGCTGGTTTTGGCGAGGCATGCGGTACAATGCCTGCCTGAACGTTGCCGTGCAGGGGCAGGAAGGACGGGGTGCGCACGCCTGTGGGCTGGACGGCCTAAAAAGAATAACCTGCGGAAAAAAGGCGGCGAGGGTAGGAGGGAGGCAACAAGGGGGAGGCGAGAAGTGCTGGCCGCCTATGGAGGTCAAGGCCATGCCCCCAAGACTTGCATGAGGCTGGTCAGATGAAGCAGACGCAGTAGTACTGTTGATGGCGCCCCTGCAATCTCGGACGTCGGGGCTGACGGACCCCTGGCGCATGACCCCCGTGGCGCGTCACGCCCTGTAGCCCCAATTGGCCTCACTGGTCTGGCACGCCTGGTTCAAAAATGCACGAATGTCGACGCAGTCGACCCCGTTTTCGTCCGTCGCTCACATGCGGGCCCCAAGAAGCCCCCCATGCGGCCCCAAACACCTCCAGTGGGGGCCCCAAGACTGGACATCACACGGGGAGCGAACGTCTGCCCCAGAGGAGTCCCACAGGGCCCAGGAAGGCCCCGAAAGATCCCCCAACAAAGCCCCAGGAGACCCCCCCCGCCGACGGCCCGGAGGGGCTCAATGCGACCACATGTTGCACCAGGACGACCCAAGGCAGCCCCCTGGAGACCGTCTGGTCGTCCGTTACGGCGGTGCCGCGGGCTCCAGCTACTGGGCGGTGCTTGCAACGTGGCCACACACGGGGAGGTGAGCTGGCACGGGGGGAGGGGCTTGCCGCCTGCAGCTGGATACATACGCTAACGTGGCACAAGGCGTGCACGTGCAGGGGCGCAGTACTCGTGCTTCCTTCGCGTTTGCGTGCCCGACGCTTCTTCGGGTCCTCTCGGCCACCGGGATCTACGACGATTGTGCGAGGAACATGCTCGCAGGCAAGTGTCCCAACTGGATGCACATACAGTCAAGCCGCAGCATCAGGACACGCGGTGAGGATGCAAGGGCCCTGGAGGGCCATGTTGGCGTTTTCGAACGGGTTTGGCCAGCGAAAAGCGCCAAGGATGGGCCGAAGGGGCAAGGATGCAGGGGTAGCCTTGGAAAGCTGCTCATCCTCACAATGCGACTTGACCCGACTTGACTATGCTTGAAAAAATCGCGCCGCCCGCCCCCGGAGAAGAACCGACAGACCGCCACGCGTGGTGCCAACCAACCACCATGAAGCAGCCTCGAACTTAGCCCTACCACTAACATTGACAATCCCAGATGCGATGACCATCTTCGGAATGCGCCTTTAGAAACTGAGAAAATCTCTTTAAGATCTACATCGAGATCATGTGATGCCCATCGTCGGGAAAGGGATCTGTCCCCGGCTAGTACAGCATGCGACCAGACGTGCGACCGTCAAGTAACAAGCCCAATTTGAAAACTGGCGGGTCGGTGACCAGATGGCTCCGAGCTGACACCCCCCGAATCGGCAGAAGCGTATCCGTTCACATGCCGACATTTGTGAAGGGGCCCTGGGACACACAAATAAACACGCACACAACTGACAGGATCCCCCATAGTTTCACATATGTCCGGGGTTTTTGTCTTCCCCCCCCCTTCCCATATTCTCCCATATTTTCTGGGGAATCGACGATTCATTGTGTCTGTGTGCTTTCTCCCCTCCCGAGCTTGCTTCCACCGGACTCCGCCGGGGGGCCCCCGCCGCCGCTCTGCTTCTGCCGCTTTTTTCCGCTGGCACTCCACCGGCTTCCGCCGAGGGAGGGCAGGGCAACCTCTCGATGCGTCGCACGCGCGGCTCTTTCCGCAGCGCCCCCCCCACACCGCTCGCTGAATGACGAGACTCGTAGAAGCACGTTCGCCTGAGCCGCTCTCAACATTTGCTCGGAATCACTTGTGGAGCGGGGCTCACCGCCCGTCTCCTTCTCATCGTCAACGAGCTGGACAGGAGACTTCCTGTTCACGTCGTCGCCCACCTTGCATCCACCCGGCAGGAAGGGATGTGGAGGAGGAGGAAGGGGAGGAGGAGGAGGAGGAGGAGGAGGAGGAGGAGGAGGAGAAGGGGAGGAGGAGGAGGAGGAGGAGGAGGAGGAGGAGGAATGGGATGATGATGATGATGATGAGGAGGAGGAGGAGGAGACGCATGAGGTGAAAAGAGAAAGAGACAGCGCACACGTGCAATCCCCATTGAAGTCAACCTGCCCCCATAAGTCCTACTCCTCCCCCTCTCCCATCCCCCTCGTCGTCGTCTTTATCATTTTCGCATCGTTCGTGATTCGCCCTCTTCTCCTCCTCCTCCTCCTCATTCTCATCCTCATCCTCATCCTCCTCCTACGCCGACCGAATCTTCATCATCATACATCTCCTCCTGATCATGCTGCTCCTCGTCCTCCTCCTCCTTCTGCTCTTCCTTATCCTCCTCCTTCTCTGGCCCTTCCTCCTTACCCATCCCCTCTCCTCCCATTCTCCACGTTTCCTTCTCCACAAGAAAACAAAGCGCAACCCTATAGCACTCTGAAACGCTGCGCTGAAAACAAACTAAGACCTACTCCTCCTCCTTCGCTTTCCCTCCTACCCTCCCTCCCTCCCTGGCCAGTCGCGGGCCTAACTAACCACCGCCTCATGATCCGCACCTCGTATGATTCTATTGCGAGGAGGCGCAGCAGCAGGAGGGAGGGAGTGAATCAGGAGGGTGAGGAGGAGGCGGAAAGGACGAGAAAGAAGGACGGGAAAGGAGAAAGAGGAGGAGATGGGTGTTGCCCTTGGTCAGATGTGTATGGGGACATGCACCTTAGGCAGGAGCCGGGCCGCTTTGCCCTTGATCATGCGTTGTGCCGTCTGCACGGGGAAGGACGGAGAAGGAGGAGGGGCGAGGGAGGGAAGTTGGGAGGTGCAGGGGAGAGGGGAAGGAGGAGGGAAGGGAAGCTCAGGGAGGGGGAGAAGGAGGCGGAAGTAGAAGGATGCGGGCAGGGCAGGGCCCATCGCGTGCTCAGGTGCTCAGGTGCAGAAAAGGACGAGGAGACGGAGGAGGAGGAGGAGGAGGAGGAGAAGATGGATGGGACGTCCGACAGAAGGTCGAGACGGAGCAGATGGGAGGGGCTCGAAGTATACACCAAAGCGTCTGGTCGGCCAGGGAGCTCGGTGTATAGACGCCCGGATGTTCCAATACGTGGGATGCTGGAGCGACTATACACCAAACTCCTTCGCCGGAAACGTTTGCTCGAGGGCCGGCCAAACGACGTGCTGTGTACGTCGAGCCCCTCCAAGTAGGGGGTGGGGAAGTATGGAAGGCGAGATGTATGGAGGACGACTGTGTGTGGACGAGTGAGGCCGAACAGACGACGATCGAGTATGGACGACTGAGTTTGGGACGGTTGAACATGGCTTGTTAAACGCTAGGGGAGGACGATTGAATATAGAAGAGGGTCCCAGCCACCTCGCAGCCCGGACGTGCTGGTCATCTCCGAGGACCCGAGAGGTCTGCAGGCCCTGGGCATCTCTAGAGTCCTCTGGTGGTCCACAAACGATTTCTCTCCTGGGGGAGCAGGACGGTGGAGGATGGATGGGGCCCCGTCACCTCGCGGCCCGAACATCCCCGCGATCTCCGAGGGGCCCCATGGGGGGCCCTGGAAGTCTGCAGAGGCCTATGGTGGCCCAGAAAGGGTACAAAACAGACTTGTCAAAAACCGCCCAACATCAATCAACAGCAACTCCTTTCTCCACATCCCTCTCTCTCTCTAATCCACAGGCAGAATGCTCCACGAAGAGCAACGACTTCCCACTCACCCACACGTGTCTTCCCAGCCGCAGCGTCGGAGATTCGCACGAGAAGGGACGGATGTGGCGGGCGGAAGGTACAAGCAAACAACTCTGGTCCACCCCTCGCTCTCGGCGGACGTCGACCTGACAGCCTCCAGCGAACGTCGGCTTGACGCCTTCCTGCGCTGTCGCAGCCCAGCACCCCTCCCTCCTGGAGCACGAGGCGGGGGGATGGGCCCAGCCGCCTCGCGGTGACGGCCGATGCGCCGGCCGTGGAGAGCCAGAGACTCGGCGTCGAGGCGGTCGTACTCCTCGGGGGGGGGGCGGAGGCTGCGAGAATGAAGGAGCGGCATGCGGTTGAGACCCATTTCGCGGCAGGTCTCCGCAATCCACATGTGCATTGAGAAAGGAGGGTGCCGTCCAGCCGAATCCGGCCGGATGAAGCCCAGGATTAAGGCGGATTACGAAGCCGGGTTAAACTGGACCATTTTGAACCTGGCCTGTCCTCGACTCCGGATATCCCAACGCCGATGCTGATTCTCATCTCCCAGGAGTTGCATGCTGAACGAGGGGCGTACATGGCACGATAACTATATGAGATGAGCAGCAGGCATGCTGAGCTGCATGCTTTCTTCACTTCTCGCTCCAGGAGTGGGGTCTTGGGCAGACCCATGCGCACAAAGGAGATCTCGCTCCGCAAGTGTCGCCACGTTCCTGCGCGCATGTGGGATCCAGTGGAGTCGATTATCCATCAGACCAACTTTTGACCTCGCTCAAAACTTGTCCTCGTCCCTGCAAAATGATCCCTCAGGCTTCATCGTCCGCAGAGGACCGAGGACGAAGACTTCGTCATTCGGCCAGCCTCAAGGCTAGCTCGAGCTTGACTGGAACTTGGATGGAGATGAACTGGATTGACCTGACACGCTGACACTACTGCGGCAGAAGGCACCCAGACAGCTGCACAAAGCGACGAAGAAAGCCCATGATGTGGTGCCACGATGGGCGGCCACGTTACGGGTCCACAGGAGTGAACGTACCTTGAGGCGGCCACGTCTGTCAGCCCAGCCCACGCGCAAGCCTGCCTAGATAGTGAGGCGAGGCGTGAGACGGCAGACAGCGGCTCAATGCCACAGGAGTGATTTCGCTGCGGCCATCGCTGCAGCAATATTTGCTGGCGACGGCGCTGCGTGTTGCTTCATTTTGTTGTACATGTGGAAAGCAAGCGCAACCCTGCGAATCGTCTGCCGCAACGAGAGGTCGCTGGCAGGTTCGGAAGGGTACGCTGCTGCAGGGCCTAAGCCCCACGATGTATATGCGCTAAGGAGCGGAGCGGGGTCGGGGGACCAGAGGAGGCTCAGGAGGGCGGAGCAGGAGAGGTAGTGGGGAAAAGAATCGGGTGCGTTCGGGCAACCGAATACACACGAGCGCTGAGCTAGTACGTGCATGCGGTGTGTGGTCGTCCACCCGCCACTGAGCGTTTTGAAAACTGCCCAGCGCCAGCTTGGGCGGACCTCTCCAAGCGCTTTCGCGAGAATAGTCCAGCGGGTGGCGAGCTCAGGGGGCGGCGGCGTATTCTGAAGGCCCCACGCTGCAAGGCGCTTCGCGAGGGTGACTGTGAACGGCGAAGAGAAAAAGGCACGCTGCAGCGCGAGTGCGACCGCCCTCTGTGCCTTCGGGCGACGCGGCGGGTCGGCGTCGGGTGCCTCTCGAATTTCAACTCGTGCGGCGCGGTTCGCCAGGGCCACGGCTGCTGCGGTAAATGGCGAGACACGCTGCCCGCTAGACAGGGCATGGTAGAATTGCACGATGGACGAGGCCTCTTCCCAAAAGGGGGGGGACCAGCGCGCAGCTCCCCACCGTGGGAAGGATTGGATCGTGCTCTCTTCCCAGGCGGTGTCTCGCAGGCGGTGGAGGAACGGTTCCCATTCTCCACTGAGTGTGAAAGTGGCTGTACGAATGGCCGCCGCAGTACATGTGACTTGGGCTGAACGAGGGACAGGTGGCGGGCTCCATTCCGCCATCGAAATGAGATCTACTTCACGAAAAGAGTTAGGCGGCATACTGAGCATGTTGTGGAAGACATACAGTTCACGGCGAGCAATCTTGGAGTCGAGCGGGAAAAACTGAGCGACGTAGCTGAGCGTGGACAGGACAGAAGTGTTATATAGGCGGACAGTGGCGTCGCTGCCAGACTGGACAATATTTAACAAATTACTGCGCTGCCACCACTTTTGCCCTGGGGCTAGCCATTGAAGGGCAAGGGAGGGGGACGGTCCAAGGAAGGTCCCGAGGTACTTGGCTCGCCCCGAAATCGTGAAGCCACCCCAGGAAGGGCAAAGGTCGGCCAGGAGCGCTTTCGTTTGGGCTGTGGTGGCAGGAGAGACAGGCGCCCACAGGGGCACTATTACACACTTGCGTGGTTTGAGGGCGAGAAGGGCAAGCTCCTCGGCGGCAGAATAAGGCTCAGATGCCTCGCGCAGCGTGTCGAACGAGAATGTGAGCAGGCCGGTGTCGTCCGCACAGACCCCGAGGTAGCCTTTGTCGAAGTCGGGCGTGCCGTCGGGGTGCTCGATGAAGGAGGCGAGGTGGCGGACGAGCGGGTCCATCGCGATGGCCCAAGCAGAGCCACTGGCGGGACAGCCCTGAGCGACGCCCGACTCGATGGCGAACATGAAGTGGCGGATCCCGTCGACCTTGAGGAAGCTGTTCGGGGCGTGGTACATGTTGCGGAAGAGGCTCATGAGGCCGATGGGAACCCCGAAGCGCTCGAGAGCCGCGAAGAGCCAGACCCGACCCAAAGAAGGGAAAGCCGCCGCGAAGTCGAAGCTGGTGAAGACAGGATGGCGATCAGCAGCATCTGGACGAATCCCAGCGCGACGCATCTCGGCGTCAAGAATGACAATGTGCTTGGTGAAGTTGCGGCCGACTACGAAACCCTGTTGTGCCTTGTGAGTCCGCTCTGCCACAGCGGGTTTGAGGAGAAAGTTGGCGGCGCCAGCGATGGCCTTGATATCAGTGTTCTTGAGCGAGAGCGGGCGCGTGTCCTCGGGCGCCCTGTCGGTTTGCAACTCGCCGACGAGGTTGTCCCCTTTCGGCAGGAAGGCGAAGTCAGAGTCGCTCAGGTCGTGGATGAAATCGGTGTTCGAGCAGAGGTGGAACGAGAGGTCCCCGAGCAGGTCCAGCGACGAGTCGCGTGCGAGCCAGGCGCGATAAGGAAGGCAATCAGGGCCAGGGGCCGACGGAGAGGTGCGGGCCAGGAAGGCGCGGATCTGCATCTTGGTCGGCGCGCCCACGTCGATGGTGGCCCCCAGCGGCATGTGCTCGGCGATGTACTGCTTGACCTTGACGGAGTCGACGAGCTTGTGTGCGAAGACGGGCTTCCAGTAGGTGCGAACGGCGCCAGCCATATCGCAGCTCTCTCTGGCGACCCCAGGGGGGCCATCTGGGCCCGAGATTGTGATGCCCTGGAGGACCAGACAACGCTTCCAGGGGGCCCACAGGAGAGCCCGCCTCTGCGAGGCGCGCAAGATTCGGCGGAGTTTCTCGGGCTCGAGGGCCCCTGCCGCACCAGGGGGGCGCTGGGCCGCTCTTTGCGCCAGAGAGCGCTGCCGAGCCTCGAAGTCGCGGTGGAGCGAGGCTGACATGTCAGCGAACTCGGGCTGGTTGGTGATCGTGATGAGGCCGTCGGTGATCGAGAGGTACTTGGCGCCAAGCTCGGTGGTGGACTGTAGGCGGCGAGCGAGAGCAACATCCTGGCGCCAGACCGAGCGCGAGATCGAGCGCGCCGTGAGGACCCGTCCGTCGGCATGGTTGGATTTGTTGCCGTCCCCGATGGAGCTGACCCAGTCGTCGCGGACGAGCCTCGCGGCTTCGACCATGAGGCGCTTGTGCGTGCGCCAGCGGTTCTGGATGGGAACGTGCTGGGTCTTGGTGTGGGTGATCAGTTGGTCCAGGTACTTGGCGTAGCTCGGGTCGCGGAAGATCGCGGGGGGGATAGCCTGATCGTTCGTCGGCGTGCGCGGCTTGATGCCAATGGTGTAGGAGATGATCGCATGGTCGCTGAGGAAGGAGCCGGACAGGATGGCAGGGTCGTGTACAATGTTGATCTGCGATGTGAGCTCGAGCATGGCATGGGACGGCAAGCTGATGAAAACGCAGTCGATCGCTGAGGCGGAGAAGTCGGACTTATTGAAGCGGGTCGGTAAGTCGGATTCAATTTCGAGCGTGGAATCGAAGAGTGCTTTCCAGAAAGGCTGCTGCTGACGGGCACTGTTGTCCAGCGCAAGGCGCGCGCGCTGAGGCTGGGGCTGCAGGAAGCTGTTCGGTGGGCGGCTGGCAGTGTTGAAGTCACCCATGGCGATGAAGGCGCGGCGCTGGTAGTCGACCTCGGCCCAGGCGCGATGCTGATGCCAAGCACGTTGCACTCGGGCGCGGCCGCGAGCATCGATCTCATGGTTATGGACATTCATGGTGACGATGGAGTTGTTCGTGACGGCATTGGTGATGGAGACAGTCTGGATGCGGCCCTTGACGACCTCCTCGTGGACGAAGGTAGGCAGTTGGTGCGGAGCAAGCTGCTCGAGCTGCATTGGTGTGAGCCAGGGCACTAGCGTAGCAACGCCACCAGTGCCAGGGCGGGCCTCGGCGTCATCGTCGCCGACGAACTCGGAGAAGAAGAGCTTGTACGGGCACGGCTGCGTGTCCACCCACGTGCGGAGCCAGGCCTCAGAGCCGTGAACCTCCTGGATGGGGATGACGCATTGGCGGCGCATGTACTTCAGCAGGGCAGCCTGTTTGCGTCGGCGGCGCTGGCGCTTGTGACACATGCGGGCTCTGGCATTCCAAGTAATGAAGGTGCTGGGGACGGGGTCCTCGCTCGGTCGCGAAGGCGACCAGGGATGGTTAAACCCGCCACGTCGCAGACGCAGTGTCCGCGAAGAGCGCCTGGAGCGCAGTGAGGACGCGTCCGCGATCCACTTCGTTGAAGTGATGGCCTTCGAACGCGTGCTCGTTCCACTCGAGGATGGCGGGGTCGGCCTGGCCCTTGACGTCGAGGCGCACAACAGGCATGGCGTTGCAATGGATCTCGCCCTTGGTGCGGATGGCTCTCCATGGCTTGTCGGGTAACGATGCTGGAGCAGTTGCAGGAGCTTCTTGCACTGGATCTCGGTGCGGATCTGCTTGGGAGACTTGTCGGGATTGAGGTAGATGTCCACTCGGGCACCTGTCGTGTCGGTGGAAACAAAGCGCTTCCACCTGCCAGCGGGATCTCGTAGGGCACGTGACAGAGCGAGAGCTCGCGGGATTGCGGCTGCACGATCTCCTTTGACTTGAAGAAGGAAGCGTCTGGACGGCTCGTCCCCCAGCAACTCCACGGCGTTGCGGTCAACGTTGGCAGAGGCGATCCACTCCTGCAGGTCGTTGAGCAGAATGTCGGGCGCGATGAGGCGCTGGCAGCCGATGGAGAAGATGGTCGGGTCGGGGGCGCGGTCCCAGTCCGCAAGCTTGGTGAGGTCCGTGATGGGCGCCTGAGCTTCAGCGAGCGCGAGCGTGTCACGCATCTGGTCGATCTGCTGCCACATCTTTTTCTGCCGTCGGCTTGACGGTCTTGTCCACGGCGGGTGCGTGCGACGGCATCAGGTAGAACATCCACCCGGCGTTCGGTAGCAATGACTTGTTGTGCGAGAATGTGGCGAAAGCTTTCACGTGATTCATTGAGAAGAGCGTTGGCCTGGGCTTGGAAGGTGGCGGCAGCGTGTTCGACTTGAGTCTGCATGACTTGTTGAAGAGCGGCTTCGACATCAGGAGGCAAGCCTGGGATGCTTGGGATCGATCCAGGCGTGGCAGTACCTCCAGCAGCTTCGACTGAGGCTGGCATGTCCCACCCATGAGGGGCGGCGGCGGTTCCGACGGCGGACGAGCGTCCAGCGGTGTGTTGGCCACGCCAAGGGTCGCGATTTCCTGCCAGTGGGTCGGCATGTAGGTGTCCTCCAGCGGCTGGAGCTGCCTCGACTGCAAGAGGTTGGGAGGGCGTAGCATTCCCTTGTCCATCGCGAGCTTGAACGGGGGCAGCCGCTGCGTGGCAAGCGACATCACCGAGGTGTAGGTCGTCGGCATCCATCGCAAACGTTGGCGGAGTAGACGGGCGCGCAGACGAGCGGCCAGGACGTGAAGGTGGCGCCGAGGCTCTCCCTGACGCACGTACGAGTTGCGATGCGGCGCCAGCTTCTCCCATGACGTCGAGTGTAACCTTGGCAGCTGAGGCACGGGAGCATTTGTCATCTCGATCTTTGTCTTGGCGTCCACGGCGACGTTCTTTCCTTCTGCGTGACGGAGCGCTGCGGGACGTCGATCTCTCATCACTGCTTGACGACATTGTAGCGGATGGTAGGGCAGGTCCAATGAGCGGCAGTTGTACAGCTGTCCAATGTCCAGGGCGGCTGCGGTGCCAATACGTGGTTGGCGGAGATGCTGGCGGCAGAACTCGGGACGGGCAGCGTTCACGGCGAGGATGGCGTGCTCGGAGTTGGGCTCGACGGCGGAGGCCTGGGACGCGGAGCACAACTCGGCGTCGGATATGAAGTGCTCGGAGCTGGGCTCGACGGGCGATATGAAGTGCACGGAGCGGGGCTCGACGGGCGATATGAAGTGCTCGGAGCTGGGCTCGACGAGCGATATGAAGGGCTCGGTCGAGCCGATATGTATGGCAGCCTGCAATGCCAAGGTGAGAAGCAGGATGAGCTGTGGGCTGCCGCAAGCCCGTGGTTGTGGCGGCAACGGCTTGAGGACTAGCCGCGGACTAGCGGTATCCATGAAGGACGCCGCAGGCACAATCATCTTAAGCCAAAATGGCTTGAGCCAAAATGGCTACGGATTACGGGTCCACAGGAGGAGGAGGAGGAGGCGGAGGAGGAGGAGGAAGGAGGAGGAGGAGGAAGGGGAGGAGGAGGAGGAGGGAGGAGGCGGAAGGAGGGAGGAGGAGGAGGAGGAGAAGGAGGAGGAGGAGGAGGAAAAGGAAAAGGAGGAGGAGGAGGAGGAGGAGGAGGAGGAGGAGAGAGGAGGAGGAGGAGGGAGGAAGAGGAGGAGGAGGAGGCGGAGGGAGGAGGACTTCAAGGTGCCCACGACAGGAGGGGGATCTTGATGGGGGTTCTGCGAGTGGGGGCCACGCCGAAGTGCCACACGACGAGGTGCCACAGGATGGCTGGCCAAGAGGGGCCACCGCCTCGGAGGCCGAACACGTCCTCACGAGGCGTTGAACATGAGCGTACCGTAGGGGAAACCAATTCCTGGACACTCCTGCCCCCTCCTCCTCCTCCTCCTCCTCCTCCTCCTCCTCCTCCTCCCCAAAACTCAAATTTGGCATGCGCAAGGAGACTGCGGTCGGAGTGCAGCTCATCAGGCCCATCGCCAGCTTTGAACGTTGGGGGTATGGGGGAGTCGTTGACCGATGAATGTGGCATGCGTGTTCGCAGTTTTGTTTCCGGGGCCTGTATTACAGACAAGCTGCTTCGGGAGCCACCTCCGACTCGCATTGGCGATAGGTGTGCTGGGAGCGTCGGAGATTGGCTCTCGATGCACCTGGCAACATCGAGCCACTCACGCTGTGAAGCCGCCAAGGAAGGGGGTGTGGTGCACCGGCAGGGGATTATCCCACTACCCTGACATCCGACGATGCGTTGTTTCAATCCTGGCGTTTGTCCTAGATGTCGGCCTCTGGGAGCTGTTGATGGGTCCCAGGACCATCAATAAAGGGCCTGCGGCTAAACATGAACCCTGCGGAAGGGGTCGGGAGGCCTGGGTCCTGATTGAACAAAAAAACAAACATCTGGACATTGGCATCAGCTGATGAAGTCCAGCTCTGTTGCTGGGCCTGTCAGATCGATCGCCAGTTCTTTCGCTTGACCCGAGAGCGCTAGATTAAAGGACCAATCCTCGGCGTCGAAGATGCGGGCTGTGACGAGCACCTTTATGACGTGGGCCTTGACCTTGTAGCGCGCCCGAATGCCATGCGCGTGGCAAGCGTCCCAGCCCTCTCGTCATCCAGTGCCGCTTCCGACATCCTCCTCTTCCTCCTGCTTTCCCCCCCGCCGCCTGGTGCGCGCAGCCCAGTCTCCGTATAGGCACCCCCTCTGCTCAAGTCCGTTCGGCACCCTTCGCAAACGAGCAGGAGGGGCCCCATGGCAGGGAGCGCGAGCGAAACGAACGGGCCACGGACGACGGACGAAACGACGGGATAGCGCGGAAGGGAGGGCGGGGAGGGGGGGGGGAGGGGGGGGGAGGGGGGACGGGAAGGGAGGGGAGGGGGGGGGAGGCGGGGGGGAGGGGGAAGGGGGGGGGGAGGGGGGGGGAGGGGGGGGGCAGGGCGGGGGCACGAGCGAGCCAGTTGCGCGACGGGCCCTCGAGGGCGTCCGACGCATTCCTCGGGAGCAGGACCCAGCCGCCACCCTCGCACACCCAGCGAGGGTGGCCACTCCTGCCACCCATCGCACAGCGCCTGTGATCAGGGCTGAACCTAAAGGATGTTTTTCGTTTTCGTTGTCCCTCGATTTGTCTTCAGTCCGCCTTTAAAGCAAAACGAGATCGAAACGAAAACGGTCCACGAAATCACCAAAAACACCGTTTAGGTCCAGCCCTGCCTGTGATCCAACGCAGCAAAGGAAGACGAACGGCCCCAACGATCTGCGCAGAGGGGTCTGGTGATGCGCTACTGTCAGGAGCTGTTATACTTGGAGCATCGCGGCGGCGGCCATGACGACGCGATCTGATCTGCGAGCGGATAGCGCATCGCTTCGCTCCACGTGAGAGGAGGCTGGGAAAATCTTGGGACGTTGGCATCTGACTGCTGGGACAAGACATGGCTGGCGTGTCGTGCCGAAGCGCGGTGGGCCAGAACCGGCAACGCGACACGCCAGGCAACGACTCCATACCGTAGTGGCCAAAGAGCACCCAGAGTTGAACAATGTATGAGACATCACTTCCTGCTTGTGATTCGGCATGGGATCGAACATCTGCGCAAAGTGGAAAGCCTGCGCCAAAACATGTCGCTGAACATACCGTCTCTCCCTGCCATGCTCTAAACCCGGTCAGCGCTCCCCAGCCTGACTGAGGGGGAACGTTAGGGGGGACCGGTACGTGGGGGGGAAGCATCTATCTGAAATCGGCGATAGGCCCACGATAACGAAACCGCACGGTCCTGGGTGGATTGGGTTATCAGGACCCTATGGGCGATTAACAGGCGATCTGGGGTCGATGATTCCCCCCAGGAACATATCCCCTTTAACGTTGCCCATGACCCACGTACATAGCAATTGGAGGGATGACCTTTATTTCTATCATCTGCTCGACTTTGTTGCAAGGCACCTTGGCTGCCACATCCACCACAATCCGCTCTGCCAGGCCGGGCGCCAGGTGCCCTGACTGGTGCTCGCGCAGCACCAGGTCGCTCTGAACCTACAGGCCTAGTAGATGGGGTCGGAGGATCGCGCCGCAGCGCCGATGCATCGGCGATACATCGCCGATGCATCGTCGATACATCGGCGACATCGGCGATGCATCGCTCCACATCTGGCCGCATCGCCGATGCATCGACGACACGGCGCGATCCTCCGACCTCCTCTACTCGGACCCCTCCTCCGGGAGGCCCAGGGGAACCTTCTTGACGTGGAAGCGCGTGACGTCCACGTCGAGGTTGCGGAGGTAGAACGACATCCGGTAGAGGGAGCCGAGCCGGAGCGGCCCGAAGCGCAGGCTCCCGGGGGTCACCTCGGCCAGCTTGGTCGGGTCGCCCAGGCCCTGCATGGTGCTCGTCAGCTTCCACTGCTCCTCGGCGCTGGCCAGGGCGGGGTCGCCCAGGATCTCCCGCGGCCCGACCTGAGAACCTTTTGGTGGCCGCAGAGCCCGGCGTCTGGCCTCACTGACGCCTTCCTCGCATGCCTCCTCAGTGCTCTCTCTCTCTCTCTCTCTCTTTCGCTCTCTCTCTCTCTCTCGGATGGCGGGAGGTGAGGAGTGAACAGTCCACATCTCAGCCCAGCTACCCAGCCCTCCCCGCCCCCCCCCCTCCCCCATCGCCGCCCCGCCCTCCCGCCCTCCTCCGCTTCCCCCCCTGCCCTCGCAGAGAGGCCACACTCGTTTTCGCAGCCACCGAGAGCCCAGGCCCAGCGTGTGCGCGCCGGACTTCCGCACGGTGGACACGCTGGGCGCTTTCGTGGCGTTCTTCTTGTGGGCCACGCTGCACGTGCGGACACGCCGGTCCGTCTCCCCCTCCACGGCCACGTAGTCCGAGTTGATCGTGATGTGGGCCTCGTGGGCGGGAGGGCGGGGAGCGAGGCTCCCCTTGGAGTCACGCACCCTTTGAGCCCAAAGGGCCTCCGATCCCGTTGGCTTCGTATTCGACCATGGACCCACTGTTGTCCATCGGCCTCTGTGGGTCGTCGGGAGTCTTGGGAGGTCTGCGGCGGTGTTAAGAGGTTTTCGGCGCGAAAGCTGGATGGCTGCGTCCAACACGCTGTACACAACGTCAGGACTTCCGAGTGCGCTCGGGATCGAGCCCGCTCGGACGCCTAACGTGGCAGATCCCCGTCGCCCTCTCAGGATTTGGACCACACGGAGCGGCGGAGGAAAGGGTGGGGAGCGGGGAGCGAGGATCCCCAGAGCTGTGCACCCTCTCAGCCCAGGAGGCGTCCGATCCTGTCAGGCACTTGAGTGCACGGTGCTCGGGACCGGCACGTGCGGACGCCAACAGGGCCAGACTGCCGCCGCCCTATTCGCACTTTGGCCATTCGGCTGGCCGGCGGCTAGGTAGGCTCAGACACCGTGCAGGCTCAGAAGGGCACCCTGGGGGTGAGAAGTGGAGAGAAGAGGAGAGTGGGGGACCTCTCAAAGGAGCTTAGAGAGGTTGGGTCAGTGGTTCGGGCCGCATCGCCAATGCATGTCGCAGATGCATCGAAGACGTCGGCTATGCGCTGGCGCCCTCGAGACAATCGGGCTCCACATTGAGCCGCATCGCCGATGCATCGGTGATGCGGCGCGCGGCGATGCGGCGCGACCCTCAGGCCCCATCTACTCCAGCCCCATCGTGGAGGCCTGGAAGAGTTGTGCAGGGAACGACCATCCCGGCACTCCCATAGGCCTACCACGAAAAGCTTCTGGAACAGAAGAATGCTCAATAACAAAACATCTCCTTAGAATAGAAGGCCGACGCATCAAAACAACACGGGTTGAACCAGAAGTGCTCTGAGAACAGATCATGCAAGCCACAGAAGGCTCGTAGCACACTCTTTGGTGGGTCTGTGGGCATGCCAGGACGCTTCGACACTGGCTGAAAGAGAGGGAGGAGGACAAGAAGGCGGGATAATCGCAGAAGTGGGCCTGGCTGACGGGCGGGCGCTGGGGCCGCAGCTCTCCGTAGACGTCCCACTCGACGCCCTTCTTGTCCGGGTGCGCGCCCTGTGGAGAGGATGCAGTCGGGCCGCCGAAGAAGGGACCCTTTTCGTTGGGGAGGGGTTCAGTGTTCCTTTAATCGTTTTGCAGCTTCCTTAGGTTTCCTACGGGAAATCGAAGTTTAAGTGCTGGAACGAATGCCTCGTTCCTGGAACGAATGCCTCGTTCCTAATTCCCCAACCCCCGATGTCATGATTTTTTCATGACGTCGACCCCGAGAGGCCTCGACCCATTCCCCGGGACCGCTTTTTCGTCCTGAGTCGTTTCTTGACGGTCCCGAGGCCCGGCAAGGGCCCCCAGAGGCCGAAAATCATGCAACACCTCCCGTCGTGATTTTTTCATTGCTCGAGGGGGTCTGGGAACTCTGGCCTCGCTCCTCCCTCGCCGTAAGGCTCCTTCTGGCAGCGCTTCGACGGCACAGGCCGAGGTGCGGAGGCGAAAGGGCGCGCGCGCGGCCCGCCGCCGGTCCGACGCCCCGCCCGCCCCCCTCCCGTGAGAGAGACCCCCGCGGGGCGGAGCTGGCAGCGCAGCAGGGGAGGGCCCGCGCGCAGCCTGGAGGATCGGCGGTGGACAAACCTCCCTCCAGTATACCACCCTTCAGGGAAAACGGCCTGGGACCGAAGCCGACGGACCCGGACCCGCATAAACGACGGCCGCGACGCCGTCGACCTGGACCCGAGAACGGCCAATATCCGCTAATCGACGTGTCAGGGCAGGAGGGCTATCAACATCCGAGTGAGAGAGACCCCCGCGGGGCAGAGCTGGCAGCGCAGCAGGGCGGGCCTGCGCGCAGCCTGGAGGAGGAGAGGGCCAGAGCCCAGACATACACAGGAGGAATGAACGAAATCACGACGGCAAGCCGTTCATGATTTTCGGCCTCTGGGAGCCCTTGCCGGGCCTCAGGACCATCAAAAAACGACTCAGGATGAAAAACCAGTCCCGGGGAATGGATCGAGGCCTCTCGGGGTCGACGTCATGAAAAAATCATGACGTCGGGGGTCTGGGAAGCAGGCCGCTCAGCGGGGGGGGGAGAAGGGGCAGGGGCCCTAAGACGAAGCCGGGACGAGGACAGGTTTGGGCGAGGACAAACCGAGAATGTCTCTGAGATCCGGCGGTTCCGGAAGATGTCTCGGGCGCCGCGGTCTTCTCAGAGCGTTCCGGAACGCTCTGGAACGGCTTTATCCTCGTCCCAGCCCCGTCCTGGACCCTGAGATGCGCCAGGCGCCGACAAAAACACGAGGGGGGTCGGGCAGGGGGGTGTCCAGCGGATCCGTTCGGTTGCGGCGTCCGAGCCCTACCCTCGCCGCCCATCGAGTTGCCCGAATGGTGGGTCGGCGAGGAATGGCTCGGATTCCGCCGCCGATCAGATGCACGCAGACGGACTGTCGGGCGCCCAGGTCAGCTGGCACGTAGCGATTTTCGTACCCCCCTCTTTGCCCCGCCCGCGCCTCTGGGACCCCCCCCGGCCCAGACTTCCAGCGCCCTCAGCTTATTGACCACCTGGGGGCCCGACTTCGTGGCGCCCGATGCGTTAAAACCCATGAATATTCAGATGATACGCGAGCGCACATCACCCTGTTGCGTGAGGCGGACTGGCACGCGCTCCAGCTCGACCTGTTCTACGGCGCGCCGCCGCGCGCGTGGCCCACAGGCACCGGAGCGGAGCTCCCTAAGGCGCATGAAGCTGTGGATGCTGAGCGGCACGTGCAGGATTGTTCGATGCCTTTTGCCTTTTAGGCCTCAGCCTTGGGAGCCCCACTCCCTGGAGTCAGTGGCGTTCCCATGGTGTGGCGCATGAGCCGCCTGGGTGCTCTCCCTCTGCTGGAATCTCATCAGTAAGCGGAGGGCCCTCATGGAGCAGCTGTACAAATAACACCATGTCTACATCAACGCTGGCATGAGGTGCATCAACTGCGTTTTCCGTTGGAGCCGTCGCCATCTTGCTTGATATTCTTGCCATTCCGCCCTTGCCTCCTTTCTCCTCCCTCCTTGATGCCATGTCCTTAAGAATGACTCCCCCCGGTCGAACCACGGGCGTGTCGGTTGGGCGGAACGGGCGTGTTGCTTCAAACTTCCTCACCATTTACAGCAATGAAGCGTGAAAACTCGAACAGCTACGCATTTGGAGGGCAATTCCCTTTTATTATGTGGCACCGTGACTCTCGAACTTAGCACCGCGCGCATTCGTCTAAACATATTGTTGTAGATTCGCGGGTGGAGGGAGAGCATTTTGAAAATGTTGCGCTCGAATTAGGGCCACGCGCGTTCGTCTAAAAACACTTGCCAACGCAATCGCTGATGGAGGGGCACCATTCTCAAAATCTGGTTCCCACCTTAACGCCGCGCGCATTCTTATGGAGGGCGGTGGCTTTCAAAGTGTGGCTCCCGCCTCAGCGCTTCGCACATTACCCCGAACGGTTTGCAACACTTTCCCGGATGAAAGGCGGCCCCTTTCCAAACTGTGGCTCCCGCTTTAGCGCCGCGGGCATTTGTTGTAAAAATGCAACAGTTCACGGATGGAGGGGGGGGCGTTTCAAAAGATGTGTTCTCGCCTCAACACCTCGTGCATTCGTCATAGAAGTGTGCAAACATTTCACGGGTTGAGGGGGAGGTCGTTTCCTTGAATGCTGCTCTCGCCTGAAAGAAGAGCGCTCTAGCTTCACGGATGGAGGACGGTTCCTTTTCTAAATGGGGCTCTCGCCTCAGCGCCGTCCGCATTCGCTTCACAGGTGCGACGTGTAGGAGGATGATGGACCGCACTTTGTGACAGTGGACATCTCGAATGAGGCTGCGCGGAGTGTACTGAACCGAAACTTCGACGCACGTAGCGCGGCACGGATCCACGGCAACTCTTTTTCCAAAAGGTAGCTGTTGCTTGATACTTGCTTGACTTGCATGACCACACGAGCAAATTTGTACCATAGTTGCACGGATGGGGAAAGTAGTTTTCTGCGAAAGGGGAATGGCGCTGGACACCGAGTTGAATATTGTCGTTCACGTCCCCGACTGCCCACCAGAAAGGTGCAAATCATCTTCTTTTCAACGTGGAGCTCTTGCCAACATGGCAGGCCCAACTGTGTTGGTCTTTCTAGGCGGGCGCCTTTTGTGCTGGAAAACAAACATTTTGTAGGGGCGCATGAGGAGGGGAATTGGAACAGGAGGGTGTATGTCAGCATCCCCACTGCATATGTGGCGTACTTTGGTCCCTATCCCCCGCCCCCATCCTCCTTCTCTGATGCTGATCCTCTTCATGAACTCCAGCGACTCCTACTCGCCATCCTCCTCCTACCAACTATCCTCCAGATAACCCCCAAGTGACCCCAAGAGGCCACTGAAAACTTCTGATAATTCCTCGACGCCGACACATTTGCAGAACAAATGTCCCCCTCCTGCTCCCAGACTTTTCCCCTATCAAAACCTGGATGCTCGATCGACGATGACGAAAATGGAATTCCGCTTTTCTCAATCAGTGCTTGCCCTGAAGGGGTCCTGGCGGAAATTGAAAGATTTTGGAAAAGGTGCTGGCCGTGGTCGATTCCACCAGACCTCGGGCCCCTATCGATCTCACTACCGATTTCACCATCCATCTCACTCCAGCGATCCCACTATCGAACTCACAACCGATCTCACTACGATCTCTCTATCGATCTCACGATCACTCTCGCGATCGATCCCACTACTCATATCACGATCGATCTCACCATCGATCTCACGATTGCTTTCACGATCGATCTCACGATCGCTCCAACTCCCGATCTCCGTATCGATGCCACTACTGATGCCACTATCGGCCTCACCGTCGATCTCACTGTCGGTCGCACGATCGATATTACCACCGAACTCACAATAGATCTCACTTTCATTCTCACGATAGACCTCCTTATCGATGTCACTATCCGTACTACTCAATCGATGTCACGATCTATAACACTATTGATATCCCTATCAATCCCGCTGTCTGTCTCACGAGCAATATCACCATCCATATCACTCAATCGATCTCACTACCGATCTCACTATCGAACACACGATCGATCGCACCCTCGATCTCAGTATCGATCTCACTCAATCGATATCACGATCGATCTCACTATCGATCTCACTATCGTTATCATTATCGACAGTGGCATCGATATCACTATCGATGTCACTATCGATCTCACTTCGTCGATTTCACTACCAATCTCACTACCAGTCTCACGAACGATCTCACTTTCGATCTCACTCAATGGACTTCACTATCGACCTCACTGTCGATGTCACCATCGCTCGCATGACATAGAATAGCATATAGCATAGCACGGGACACCCCCGCGCCACGGGACACCACGGGACACCATCGAGACACCATCGGAACACCATCGGGACACCACAAGGCCACTGCCGGCCAACCCGGGGGACAACAACGTTTGGCTCGGCTTCGCCCTGGCAACGGCGCGTTCATTCCTCTCTCCCGCCCACGCAGCTCCGCCTCGCCCGCAAGCACGACACGAACACGAAACCGAAACCGATTACTCGGTGGGGGGGGCCGTTTCACTACGATCTCACCCCCCAGTCTCCGATGTAGAGACAGAAAGAGAGAGAGCGAGAGAGAGAGACAGAGGGAGAGAGAAAGAGAGAGAGAGGAACACAAACAAAACATGACAAAGAAATACTGACAGATACGGAATACAGAGAAAGAGAGAGAGAGAGAGACAGAAAGAGAACGTGCGTATATCTAATTATACATACATGCGCCGATAAGTAAGTATGGAGTGATACATCTCTCTATATATATATAGACACCTATATATATATACAAGGAGAGAAAGAGAGAACGAGAGAGAGAACAACAAGGAAACAAAAACACGACAAAAGAACGAGATAGAGAGAGAGAGAGAGAAAGAGCCACATAGAAGAACCAGGCTGGACTGTAACGTGCGTCTGCACTAGAGCAGGACGGGCGGAAGGCCGATCGAGACACGTGCGACAAATTCAGAACTCCGCTGATTGGATACTCTCTGGTGTAAGGAAGCCCCTTGCAAGACGTCCCTGAACAAACGAAGGCTTTTGCGCTTCCAGGCTACAACTCCTCAGGCAAAAATACAGCCGTGGGGACGAGGAGGCCTCCCGGATGCGCAACACAAGCAGAGAGGTGCCCCAAGGACTCGATCCTCCATCGGCGACGACGGCAGCTGCATGACTTCTGCAACACGATGTGGCACCCAGCGGCCTTCCCCGAAGGAGCGAGCGTTCGCTAACGCGGAGGACAGCTTGGGGTGAAGAAACGCGCGCGCTTCTTACACCTTTCGGGTACATCGTGGCAGGTTAGGGGCCGTCGGGGGCCCCTCCAGGGCCACCTTCCTGCAGCCCTCGAGCCCCCCGCGCTTCTTTGCCCCCCGCTGCCGTCCGCCCGACAAAACCTCTCGACCTCCGAGGACCGGCCTTTCTCCCGAGGCGTGCTCCACGGCCCTGGGGTCCGATGACGGTCTCCAATGGCCGAACAGGCTGAAGCACGCACGCCCACAGGCCCGATACAGCAGGCACACGCGATGATAAACCGTGTTGTGAGGAGCCCGGGCTCAAGCCTAGGGGCACGTTTTGCCGTCCAGCTTGGAGCTTCCTGGGGTGCTCCAGGGCTCCTGTGGCCCCACCAAGGGCCATGCGGGCATCAGAAGCTTCCGCGGGGCACCTGCTGACCCACTTGGAGGCCTCTCTGACGGCCCGACGGCCCCAGCCCCCAAAGCCAGGGACTGGCGGAAGTGGTGCCACGGTTTTCAGTCGCATCACATGCCGAGGAAAGGGGACACGATCTGTCAGCATATGTCCTCTCTTGCTGGTGCGCTCTCATCTCACAAAAATATCCTGCATCTGCGTGCTCATTGTGGCCACAGCCGTTCCCTGCTTGGCTGCAGCCGTCATCTTTGAACAAGGCCAGAAGCCTGGAGCGCAGGTGTCCTGATAAAAACCTCTCTGCCTTCAGACCCTCCCCAATAGTGGCAACAAAATACCGTTTCGACGCCCTCATTGATGGACTGGGATACCACCAACAATGAACAAACAATTGTTTCGCCGCGGCACCCGCCGCA